ATGAGAATGCGAGATCTACAAAGAGAGAACAAAAAAATGGCATGACAAGCATATCATGAAAAGAGATTTCATCAAAGGAAATGGTGTTGCTCTATAATTCTAGACTCGACTTTTTCTAAGTAAGTTAAGGTCCAGATCGTAAGGACCTTTTACGTCACCAAAGTGTTTCCTTTTGGCACCATTGAGATTTCCCATGAGTTGAAACACACATTCAAGGTGATTGGACAATGTCTCAAGCATTATGAAGATGGAGGATGGAAAAAAGATAGATCTATGGCAGTAAATGAACCAGAATAAGCAAGCGTAGAAAGTCAAGCTAATGACTTTAATTAGAACTTATTTTATCTTATTTTTTTTCATTCTAATATTATTATTTTTTCTTTGATGCATTGTAATTTGTTGTTGTGTTTGTTTGTTATCGCCAAAACAAGGAATGAGTTTGGGGGAAGCTTAAGTGATCAAAGAAGAATACAACTTGAGTAGAGTAGACACAGGCTACCTTGTGTCATTTTACACAGCCATGTCCCTAAATTAAAAAAAAAAAAAAAAAAAAAAAAAAAACTAGAGACTAGTGCACCAGTCATGATCACCTGCTCATTCCTAGTCAATTGTCCTCTCAATTCGGGAAAGTTTCTATCTCTCATTTTTAGTTTTTTTTTTTTTTTTTTTTTGCATTGGACATTGCATTCTCTAAGTTTGGGGGAGTGGCAGTTTGGTTTGTGATGCATTGTTAACGGTCTATTTCTTTGGGTTGGTGTGTTTTTTTTTTAGGAAGTGTTTATTTTATGGTGTGGTTTTGGTTTTATTTTTGTTTTTATTTTATTTTATTTATTTATTTATTTTTTTTTTTTGGTGTTTGTGTTTTGATACAATCCCAAGCGAAACTTGTGGGAGTCCCTAAATTTTTTTTTTATTTTTTTTATTTTATTTTTTGTGAGAATTGTAACATTTGGGGTAGTGGTCTTCCAAGTCATTGAAAGGATTGAACCTGCTTATATCCTTAGGAATGCAAGAGTATGTGAGCTTGATGGTTGTGCAATTTCTAGTTTATTACTTGACTTTGTTGTGTACTAGCTGAGAATGTCTTCACTCCCTTGCAAAAAAAAAAAAAAAAAAAAAAAAAAAAAAAAAAAAAAAAAAAAAAAAACCTGCATTAGTTTCTTATGTTTGAATAAACTACTCTGCTATTTGAGTTGCTTAGTAACCAGGGTATTCATGAGACCCATGTTTACTTTTGCGTCAAACCCTGGCTAGAATTATGAGTATGCAAAGCATTTAGGTGTTGTGACATTGCTGAGTAACCGGGGGCAACAATCACCAATGGGTTCATTCACGTAAAAAGGTAATGCGACAATCTGATGAAACTCATCAAATAATAAATAATAATATAATATAATAATAATAAAGACAAAAGAAAAAAAAAGAGGAAAAAAAATAATATTGGGGGCTAAGTATAAGTCTTGGTAAGGCAGATTGCACAATAGCGGGGTTGTATGTTTGGATGCATGAATTTCATTTAAAGCATGTTGGTTTTCTTTCCTTGACTTGGAACAACCACAAAATCCATGCTGATTGCTGAGTTTGTTTCTCTAATATTCTCTTACTTAGGGACAAGCAAAGGATTAAGTTTGGGAGGTGATAAGTTGCATAAATTTAGTGTTTTTAGGTTTGCTTTTATAGCCTTCTAGTTAATTTCTCATTTGTTTCTTGTTTTGATGTTGTTTTTGTTAAGTTTATGATGTGAGTGGTCAGCTATTGATTTGGAGAATTTGTGATTTTCAGGCTTTAATTGAGTGAATTGGAGCGTTAAAATGAAACTGGGATTCAAAAGCTTGAAGAAATTGAGATGATGACAATTTTGAAGGCAGGCCATGCTTGGGTGTTCACCACGACCATGGTGGTGGAATGAGGTAAATATCGAGGATAGAAAGCACCATGACCTAGGCCATGGTGATGTACATTTGGACGGCCAGGGCCGTGTTAGACACTTTTAGGGTTTTTTTTTTTTTTTTTTTGTTTTCTTTCCTTGTTTGTTTAGGACTCTTTGGGTTTTAAGTGTGATTGAGATTCTTTTTTGGGGGCCGAATTTTGCTATTTTTGGAGAGAGATTATTGTGTAACAAAAGAAAAAGGAGAATCAAGAATGAAATTCATCACAGGTTGTCTTTACTCTTTCAATATGATTTATTTCTTGAATTCTGCTTTATTCTTTTATTATGACATATTTTTCAGGCTAAGACTAGGGTTAGTCTATTTATAGATATGTGATCAATTTTTGCTATGGTCATTGAATATATTTCTAATGATGAGCTATATTTATGTGCTTAATGCTATTAGAACCTGATCAATTTCTGATAGAATTGTTTTATGTGATTGAGACAAAAGCAGATATTACATGAATGCTTAGTAAATAGGCATGGTTAATTGGATATAGAGATATATGAATTGATACATGAAATAGTTTTGTGCTAAAAGCTACAGGTTTCATAAAGCTTAATGCTCGTTATTTCATCAAATCTACATAGAGATACTAGGTTGTGAGATAGAAGTAGAATTAATATTGCTTGAGAAAGAATATGGTTAACCTAGAAATTCGTTGTCACATTAATTAGATAAATTCATTAACCAAGTAAATTGAGGGGTGCAGAGAAGTTTGAGGCCTGAAGTCTTAGCCATTTTCTTCATTGAATTCTTAAGTTTAGTTTCTTGCAATTGTTCGTTTAATATTTTAGCTTTTAATATTTTTAGTTTTAAAGATCACCATTCTAAGTTTTGATTATCTAGATAAAGTTAAGACTAATTAACATTTTAGTACTTGTTTACGCAATCGCTTGGGTACAATAACCTATACTTTGTTACACTATATTACTTAAGACTAGTGCACTGGTGTAGTTGTTTCAAATGACACAATAACAAATCCTGAGCATAGTTAGTAGTAGTTGTTTCAAATGACACAACAACAAACCTGAGCATACATAGGCTTCCAACAGCTGAAGCATAAGGAATGGTTTTCCTTTATTCCTTTTCAATCTCAAGTGTAGGACATTGGTTCAGATTGAACCTGTCACACTTAAAAATGGGTGCAACACTAGGTGAACAATCCTTTATCCTAAATCTCTCAAAAATTTTATTAATATAGGCTTGTTGAGATAGTCCCAACACATGTTGGGGCTTATCCCTATGAATCTTAATGCCAATGGCATAAGACGCCTACCCATATCCTTCATATTAAAATGTTGAGAGAGAAATTGTTTCACCTCATGCAGCAAAAACAAATCATTGGTTGCAAGTGGAATTCATCTACATATAACACAAGAAAGATGATTTTGCTCCCATTGCCTTATGGTATATACACTGATCCATGACATTTTCTACAAAACCAAAAGATGAGATAACATGTGAAATCTTAAATACCACTATCGGGAGCCTGTTTAAGTCCATAAATAGAATTCTTAAGCTTGCAAACAAATGCTCACCATCATTTGAAATGAACCATCAAGTTGTTTCATATAAACCCTCCTCCAAATCTCTATTGAGGAAAGTATTTTCACATCCATTTGATGTAAATAAAATGAATGTACAACTAATGCCAGATTGTGAAGGGGATCGTATCCTAGGTTATTTAATAAATAGTGAATTGGGTTATGGCTGTGTCTAGTCTAACGACTTAGTAAGGAGAGATGGGACTTATCAACGTTTGGTATTTTCTGAGCTAATGTGATCAAAAGAGTAGAAAGTTAAAGAGTACTTTTATTATATGTAATTCATGTCTAGTGGTGGAGAATAAACCTTCAATCTCATTTCTCTCATTGATTTCTTTTTCGTGATTAGTTGTTTGATTTACATTATTTTCTTTTAGTTTGTTAGTTTTTGTTTAGTTCTTATAATTTGTGACAAAACCCCATTAGAAGTAGCTAATTAGTTAAGTTCACAAATCCTCTACGAGAAAGACCCTTACTTGCTCTTTGTTACTACACGACTTTGCATTAGAATTTAGTGAAGTAAAATTAGGTATTGCATTTGCACACATCATGAAGTTTCTTAAAAACATCAAGAAATTTAAGAAAACTCTTATCCTGATTTTGTTTCTTCATCCTTTCAGGAAATGGTACGATGGAGTATGATGTGTAGGTTTCGGTGGAATCTCAGGATATGTTGACTTCATTTCCTTCTCTCTCATTGGTGCCCTCTCTTCTTACAACTCTTCATTAGCTTATCCTATGACTTTCTCTTCAACTTTAACCACTTTTTTTTGTCGAGGTTCATCTGCCAGTCCTTAAGGTTATCGCATTAACTTGCTCTTTTGGGTTTGTGACTGCTGTACTTGGCAATGCACCTTGAGATCTTTCCGTCAATTATTCAGATAACTGACCAACTTGAGTCTCCAAATTCCATATAGACACTTCTTGATTTCTAAAATTCGCCCTCTTCTCATTCATGAAATTGGTAGTTTCTTGCATAAAGCTTCCAAACATCTCCTCCAAGTTAGGTCTCTTCTTTGGTTGTTGAAATTGAGCTACCGATCTAGGTGCTCCTTGATTTCCCAAGAAAGATTTAGGTGGTTCCTCCATCCCGAAATATAAGTGTTGGAGTATAGGTTGTTTTGCGGCATTTGTGAACTTCCCATGTAGTTCACTTGTTCATTTGTTAAGAAAGAGGACAGATTTCCCACTTGGCACTCCACACTTGCCTGGTTTCCTACACAAAATTCACATATTAGTAGGAGATTGAACTAATTCACATTCATATCTTCCAATTGCTTCTAAAGTACTGAAATTTGAGTGAAAAGTGCAATAAAGGCATCAACTTCATGCAAACCCATATTCTTCTTAGGCATTGCTCAATCATTGAGTCTTTGATGGTTATTACTCACCAATACTTCAAGCAATTCATAAGTAGCTTCTGGGGTTTTGTTGTTTAATGCTCCTCCCAATGTGGTATCCACCATTGTTTGAACATTAGGAAGCAAACCATTGTAAAAGGTTTATATTTGCACCCAAATAGTCGTGATGTGGGCATTTTCTTACCAACTCTCTATACCTTCCCTATGCCTTATACAAGGATTCACTATCGCTATGTACAAAGGATGTTATATCATTTCTCATCTTGGCTGACTTAGCCAATGGAAAATACTTTGCAAGGAACTTTTGCGCTAGTTTATCTCATGTAGTGATAGCTCCCATCGGTAGTGACATTAACCATCCTTGAGCTTTATCCCTCAATGAAAATGGAAATAATCTCAACTAAATGGCATCATCCATCACTACGTTGTGCTTGAATGTATCACATATCTCCAAAAAAAGTTAGTTATTGTTAGGAATTAATCAAAGAAATAGGCAGTGGAAAACAAAAATTTACCGATTAAAACCTAAAGCCCCAAAATCCAAATATGAGATATACGTTGTTTACATGTTATAGAACATCAAAAACCCATTCAAGGTTTTAGATTCTTGCCCACGTTGATGGCTCCACTGCTTGATAATTGAAAAACGCTCACACTTCAAGGATAGAAGTGAACTCACGATATACACACAAAGGCAAGAATCAACACACAACCAATTTGCTAGTTTGATTTGTGATTGTTTAAAGAAGAAGAGAGTAAGAAAAATCAAGAGAGAAAAATTATCACAACTTTTTGGCTTGGGCAGCATAATGATAGAAGATATCCAGTTGATCCGACGTAGAATGAAGCAAGCTCAAGATAGACAAAAGAGCTATGCAGATTCAAAGAGAAAAGATGTGGAATTTGCAGTGGGTGATAAAGTGTTTATTAAAGTTTCCCCCTATAAGCGGGTGATACATTTTGGCGGTAAAGGAAAGTTAGCACCTAGATACATTGTCCCCTTTGAAGTGTTACAATGAGTTGGAAAGGTAGCTTATAAGTTAGCGCTACCACCTAATATGGATAGGGTGCACAATGTGTTCCAGGTTTCGATGCTCTGCAGATATGTCAGCGATCCCTCCCATATATTAAAAGTAGAAGAAGTGGACTTAGAAGAGAATCTCGTTTATAAGGAGCAACCAGTACAGATCTTAGACAAAAAGATTAAAGAGCTCCAAAACAAAAGTATTCCACCAGTAAAAGTCCAATAGAGGAATCATAAGGTAGAAGAAGCAACATAGAAGGTAGAGCAAGATATGTGAAACCACCATCTTGAGTTGTTCGTTTGAATTTCAGGGACGAAATTCTTGTAAGGGGGGAGAATTGTAATGCCCACATTGAGGTACGTAATTTTACTTATGCCCAAATATCCTTAGTTAAATTTTATTAAAGTTATCTTGAACAAGTGTGAAGAAAATCCCTTAAACTTTCATTAGGGGTAAAATGGTCTTTTCACTCATAATTAGTTGAAAATGTGGGGAGTGAAAAGAGATAGAATTTCATGGAGAATGTAATAAAATGAAAGCATTATGGTAATTGACTAACGGACATAGATGAAATTTCATAGAAAGTGCAAGGGCAAAATGGGAAACTAATAAATAATATTATGTTATATCAAGAATTGAAGAGTGAAACCCTAGCCACTTCTTCTCCTCTTTCACGCCNTTTTGCATATATTTGTACATTGAAGGCTTATGGTTTTATTGTGTAAAGTTGTAGAGAAGAGACAAGCATTTTAAAGGAAAGGAAAGTGCTAGTGAGATCTCTTCATTACAAGGTAAGTAAATCCCAATCCAAGTTGATATTTGAGAACTCTTTTGAGTAGAGATTTAGTAGAAATTGTGTATGCATGTTAGATGATATGTTATTGAGAATTGAGATGGAGATGAATAATTGCTTTGTGGTTAGTAAATACACTTCAAGTATGAGAAGTGTGATGTGTGATGAGAATGTAGTTTGAGATAAAATTGGAGGAGATTGAGAACTCTTTTTGGAAGTGTTATGTTGTGACAGGAATTATAGCTTGGTGAGGGAGTTTTCTCCCATTTTGGATGGTTCAAGAGAGGGATATAACTATAGATAAAGTAGAGTTTATGTATGCACACTAGTTGTTTGATGAAATGCCTAAGAGAATCATGAGTAGTAAACCTTAATTCTTGCAACATTGCATGTTGGCATTTCATGAGTGCATTAGTGGAGAAGAACCATCCATATGTATTAATTGTGCATTGAGAAGTGACTTGAGAAAGAGTAGAGACTTTTGTGTGTGAACTACTCTAAGAGTAGAGAGAATGAGAAAAATACTAAAAAACGGGTTGATGCTTTGTGATCTCCACCCGAAAGTTACGAAAAGCGGGTTGGTGCTTTGTGATCTCTACTCGGTAGATACTAAAAGCGGGTTGGTGCTTTGTGATCTCCACCCGAAAGTCACTAAGAGTGGGTTGGTGCTGTGTGAACTCCACCCGGCCGTGCCTCTGGTAAGATGAGGCCGTGACATAGAGCACAAGTGAAGTAAGAGAGCTGTGTGAAAGAGAAAATAAATGAGATGAGAAAAGTGTAAAGAAAGAATTAAGAGAAAGAGTTACGGGGACAGTCAAGTAGAGGATTTACTTACTGGGCATTATTTTGTGCTCACACCATTGTTTTTCTTTGTAGTTGCAGGATTTAGGTGAGAATGCGGTTGGATGGACGTCGGCAAGCGAGGAACAATAGCTACACTGTCCATTGTTTTAATGGCATTTTGTAAATGATATTCTATTTTGTATAAAGAATGTTTATATGTAAAAGAAAATTTTGGGCCTATTTACTTTTACTAATATAAATGTATTTTACTTAATATATTGCTATGAGTATCCTAGTATAAAGCAGTTGTTACAAGAGATATTGGAGATTATGTGACTAAGTGTTTGGTTTGTCAACAGGTAAAAGCAGAACATCAAAGACCATCAGATTTGCTTCAACCACTTTGTATTCTTGAATGGAAATGGGAAAGTATATCAATGGATTTTATCACAGGCCTTCCAAGAGTTCAAAAGGGATATAATGCAATATGGGTAATAGTAGACAGATTAACAAAATCAGCCCATTTTCTTCCAATAAAGGATAGCACTACCTCAAATCAGTTGGCCCAGATTTATGTCATGGAGATAGTCAGACTCCATGGTGTGCCCAAGAGCATAGTGTCAGATAGAGATTCCAGATTTGTTTCAGCTTTNCGGCAACAATAATAATAATCCAGTGATTCCGCCACTTTTGGAGGATCTTGCAGAAGCTGTAGCCCTACGTTCTTTAATGGATTATGGAATGTTGTCATTGAGTGGCACTGCTTCTAGCATTAGGATGCCAGGCATTGCAGCAAATAACTTCAAATTAAATCTATGATTATTCAGATGATTCAATTAGCCTGCCAATTCAGTGGTTTGGCCCACGAGGATCCAATGCTCACATTGGAAATTTCTAGGAGATATGTGATACATTCAAGTAGAATGGTGCCACAGACTATGCAATTAGATTGAGACTGTTTTCTTTTTCATTTAGAGATAAAGCCAAGGATTGGTTAAATTCTTTTGCTTGCAGAATCTATTACAACTTGGGATGCATTGGCTCATCGCTTTCTAGCTAAGTATTTTCCTCCCTTAAAACTGCAAGGATGCGTAATGATATCACTAATTTTATGCAAGTAGATGGAGAGTCGTTATACGAGACATGGGAGCATTACAAAGAGTTGTTGAGGAGATGCCTGTATAATGGATTATCAATTTGGTTACAGGTACAAACTTTTTATAATGGTTTAATCCTTGCTAACCGTTCTATGATTGATGTAGCTTCAGGGGGCACTTTAATGAAGAAGACATTAGAAGAAGCGTATGAATTATTAGATGAGATGGCTTCAAACAATTACTAGTGGCAGTTTGATAGAGGGCCACAAAGGAAGGCTGCAGGATTATATGGAGTGGATACAATCACAACAATTTCTACTCAACTGGAAGCATTAAACAAAAAGATTGATAGTATGAGTGCCCCAGTCATGCAAGTGAAGAGCATGAGTTTTGATCTATATGGAGGAAACCATCCTAGCAATGAATGTCAGGTAGGTAATCCGTTTGGTAATTCTACTAAAAGTGCTAATTATGTTGGTAATTTTCACAGACAACAACATAATAATCCCTACTCTAGTACTTACAACCCTAGTTGGCGGAATCACCTGAAGTTTTCATGGAGCAATCAAAATGCAGTGAAATCGTCACCTTCGGGTTTTCCTCAAGAAAAGAAGCCCAGTTTGGAGGAACTAGTGACGAATTTTGTAAGTTCCATTGAAACACGATTTCATAATCAAGAAGCTTCGATTAGAAATTTGGATCCTCAGATAGGGCAATTGGCAAATTTGATATCAGGGAGAGCTCAAGGAACGTTGCCTAGTGACACAGAGAAGAATCCCAAGGAGTATGTGAAGGCAATCACACTAAAAATTGGCACGGAAATTGGGCATAAAGAGTAAGAGAAAGAGAAAGCACCTAAAGTGCAACCAAACAACATTGCTAAAAAGTTGCTTGAACCTAAGAAGATAGAGATTCAGCCTCCTTTCCCTCTTGCATTGAAGAAGTAGAAAGTTGATCAGCAATTTGCAAAATTTTTAAATATTTTAAAGAAATTGCATATTAATATTCCATTTGCAGATGCTTTTCTTCAGATGCCTAGCTATGCAAAGTTCTTAAAGGAGATCCTTTCCAGCAAGAGAAAACTGGAAGAGCAAAAAATAGTAAAACTCACTAAAGAATGTTCAGCAATTTTGCAAAATAAATTGCCACCAAAATTAAAAGATCTAGGGAGTTTTACAATATCTTGCATTATTGGTTCACTTTCGTTTTTCCAAAGCTTTATGTGATTTAGGTGCTAGCATTAATCTAACGTCTTTATCTGTTTTTAGGAAACTAGGGCTTGGAGAACCAAGGGCCACCACAGTATCTCTACAGTTGGCTAACAGATCAATTAAATATCCAAGAGGTGTCGTGGAGGACGTGCTTGTCAAGGAAGATAAGTATATTTTTCCTATAGATTTTCTTGTGTTGGATATGGAATAAGATGTTGAGATACCTCTCATTCTAGGACGACCATTTTTAGCCATAGATAAGGCATTGATTGATGTACAAAGAGGTGAGTTAATTCTTAGGGTAGGAGATGAAAAAGTAACATTTGATGTTTTTAAAACTATGAAACACCTTTTAG